GAATCCCTCACTTTTTGCTTTGACAACCTGTAATCCTTCCTTAGACTCATACATATCCTTTTCTTGATAATCCCCCTTAACCCATTGACTCTTGTAGTGCTACATGACTTTAGATGTGTAACACATTTATTTTTGGTTATAACCATTAACCATTTAAAAACAGCTTTCTAAGAGTACTTAAGTACCTTGTACAGTTAACCCATTCTTTTTCAGACTAAGTAGGAGAATTATAGCGGCAGAAATACGTCTGAAATTTAGCAAATATTTGAATGTTAATATCACTTTAGATCCAAATTAAAGTACACAAAAGGATTTACACTTAATTTAATCAAAGCATTCTACCAAACTCATATCTGCCCCACAATTTCAACAGTATGGCTTGTATTCTTCATGTGGCGCACAGACACTACAGTCCCAAGGGGTGGAATATTTTCCAGTATGGATTCATTCCCCCCAGTCCCTTGCCCGTTGTTGTGGAAGGCTTAGGAGACGAGGACTGAGACCTAATGCTTGGGATCTCCCTTCTCCAACCCCTTCTACTATCCATTTCCCAAGGCATGAGAGCTGTATTGAAAGGATGAAAGGCTGACTTTGTGCCAGTCCTGAACTGCCTGGGGGAGCTATGGGTCCTGTATTCCTTTTAGTTATCTATCCCTTACCCCGCAAGGTGATCCTGAGAGGTGGACTTTTCTTCCCAACATATTCCCCCCCAACCCCTTGCCCGTTGTTGTCGTGGGGGGGCTTAGGAGGCGGAGACTGGGACCCAATGATGGGAACTCCCCAACCTTGGGACTCAGCCCTCGACTCAACTAATTATGCATGGCCTTTTTCCCTTCCCACTTTTGTTTCTATCCCTTCACCAAACCCTTCTGCTATCCACCTCCTAAGGTGTGAGAGCCGTGCTGAAAGGATGAAAGGCTGACTTAGTGCCAGTCCTGAACGGCCTGAGGGAACCATGGGCACGGTATTCCCCTGATTTAGTTCTAGCCCTTACCCCTCAAGGGGACCCTGAGGGGTGGACTGTTTTTATCCCCAACATCATCCAGGCTTACCATGGCCAATAATGAAAATCTATCTCCACTATTAGGGGCAATGAGGCTTGCCCCTTTATCAAATAGCCCCAACGAAGAAAACCCACCCGATTCCCAGACCCCAGGCTCTCCTTTGACCACGGCTCCGAACACTGTAATAAATACCCCTTCATCAATGCCTAATAGTACAATAGCCAACAACCAACCCTCAAGGAACATTTCCACTCTCCCAACAAGCTCAACTTCAACACCTCTACCCCCACAACCTCCAACATCAACCACTCCATCCTCCCTTATTACCTTACAGCCTTATTGCCCACCTCTCCGTAACACTACCTCCATCAACACTACTCCATCTTCGTCACGTCCCCGCCCCTCTACCACCCCTACAACAATCTTGAACACTCTCTTTAGTGCAGCCAAATGGGACCGATTTTTCGTGATCCCTCCCACAGCTCCCTACTCTGACAACACCCTTCTCTTCCAACAATGTCTACAAAAACAAGTAGGTAAAGTTTCTTTCCGTAGCCGACCCGACCGCTCCCGCCTTGTCACAGTAACATCAGAAAATCAAGCTATAGCATTAGCAAAACTAACTGATTTATATGGTAACCCTATCCTTGCAGAACCCCATCCAACTCTCAATACTTGCACTGGAACCGTATCTATCTCCCCAGAAAACTGCCCAATCTATGACAAAGATTGGTCAGATTGTGGAGAAGACTTACTCGCCTGTCTCACAGACTATGATGCGACATCAGTACAATGTTACTCCATCCCTCCCAGAGGTCATCGTAAGAAACCCACTAACATCGCCAAAATTACCTTCCGTAGACATGACCTTCCCTTTAACGTCTACATAGGAGGAGAATCCCTCCCTGTCCGCCCATACCAACCTCCCCCACGTCAGTGCCAAAATTGCTGGCGTCTAGGACACCCAGCCAAACATTGCCGTTCCACAGCCAGATGTCCACTATGTGCCCAAACTGGCCATATCCGATCTAATTGCCCTGCAAACTCACGCACATGTGCCAACTGTGGCGGCCCCCATAATGTATTTTATAGGGGCTGTCCCA